TAGTGTACTAATTCATCCGCCACTGGCCGAGTGGTTAAGACCGCTGAATACTAGAAGTTTGACGAGGTTCAATCCTACGCGAACGGGCTGGTTGCATAGTTGAGCTTCATAGTTTTTCCCTAATGTAACTTGAATATCTTCCTTAGAAATTACTCTATGAAGCCATCCCTCCTCTTTGGCAGATAGCTTCTGTGCTCTTTGTCATATTCAGATAACCAAACCTAATTGGTTCTATAACTTGAAAAAAAATAGAAGCGGTGACTTTTCCTTACTGTTAATCCAATCACACTTGACAAAGCATGCTTTTGAGAGATTCCGATTTAGATATGAAATTAATGAAAAAAATTATGTGTTAATTTATCAGGAAGTTTTCACAAGGTTTTCAAGAGGTGCAGATGGAAGGACTAATTTTGAATATTTATACTTTTCAAATTAAACATATTACCTTCTTACATTAAAAAGGCAAATTTCCGTGGAGCAAAATTTTAAGTAAATTAAAAGCTGTGTGGCTAAACTTTAAATTTTTGAATAATAAAATGGAAACTCAATATTTAAAAAGCAAAATTAATGAAAGAATTAGCGGAATTAATATTAATTCTTTTAAAGCGTAAGCATCATCTTTCCAGAGAAAATAAATTAATTTTGCAACCAATTACCTTTAAATTTTCTTTCCAATTGTGCCTTTTTTTCTTTTTTTTAACTTAAAGCAGCGCCAACCCAGAACGGCTATTAGACTCGAAATTTTGCGTCAATCAAATAATGAAAAATCTGCATGAATGTATCTATGTTTTCACATTGTAAAAAAACTGCGGTACTTAGAGGCATTTTGAATGAGGTAGTCCTCCACCAAATTATGGGCAGCTGGAAGCCCGCATTCTGAATTTCGAATGCATTTTATTATCAATTTCATAGTCTGTAAAACTTTAGCGAATGTTTTGATTAACAAACTGAACTATTTCAAAATGAACAATGGCAACACTGTACGGAAAGGAAATTTTTTTTTATCTCCAGCGCACGAGGCTGGCTGTCGACGAAAATTTTAAAGGTATGCTGTTTTTAAATATTTTTAGCTCAAAGGAAGATTAACCGAAATGCTCTCAAAACATATATGTGTGTGCAAATGAAAGTGCGTCCCTTTGGGCGTAATATAAAATCTGAAATATTACAGTTTTTTTTTTTTTTGGGCGGGGGTACTACTGGTCACTTAAGAAATATATAAACCAAGGAATGAAATAAAGGAGTTAAAATGACTAAGTGAGTATGACTAAATGAGTTGCTTGATCATCTCTGAATTTAGTACTAAATGAGACGCTTTCGCTGCTGGCTCACACGGTTACGGTGACACTGCTGTTAAACAAAAAACTGCTGCGAAAAATTGTTTTTCTATCCAGGAGAAGTAACTTTAATTTAAAATTTTCTTATATGATTACGTATGATGAGAACAAAATAAAAGATAACCTTATCTACCTAATCTGAAAGGGTTTCGATCAGTTCTACGAATTCAGTTCAAGACAAGATTGCTCAGCTCCATATTTAGTTTTATAGATGCATCTATTTTAGGCGAGGGTTAATATTTTATAGGTTGTAATCTTTTTTCAAAAAATTTATAAAAATTACTAAAAATACAAATTTTAAAAATAAATCATAAAATATATGCGAATATTATTTGAGTTTAACCTTAATTTCTAAATTCTGTGAAAGGAAAAAAAAAGAGTTATTATTAAATATATACCAAATTCCATTAACATTTTTAGGATTAATTTTATTTAAAATTTGAGTCATAGAATCAAAATATGGAAAAACTAGGCATGCCAATTCAGAAAATGTCCGATCTTGCGTCAAAATACCTATATTTGAAGAATGTTGTATATAAATCTAGCATATATCGTAAGTCACGCTTTGGAGACTGAAAAAACGCAAGTTAAATTTAATTAATTGGCCAGTAGAAAGGACATTCCATTTTTTTAGCAGAGTGTACGTACTGTACTTTATTACTGCAATATTACTCTTAATTTTATGTAGAAATACGAAAGATTGAAACGTGAGACTAAACGCTAAAGGAATATTTTTCATTTTTAGAGCTTAAGTGTTTAAGAATACAATATCGTGACGATAAGTAAATGTCGTTGATTACATACGCATTCGCTAGAATAATCAGTAGTACTTACTACAGAAAGATAACGAAATTAAACTTAAACGAGATGTTGCAAGCGCTATCAAATAAAGAAAAAATATTAGGCCCAAACTCTCACCATTACTTTTCAACTATTTTACTAGAACAATCCTAACGAAATGAGATAAAAGGGGGCGTTTTATTTCTACAAATGTACTCTTTCGCATTGGTAAAGGCTGAAATCTCTTTTTCTTAAATATTTGAAACACCCTTATATATGAACTTTTGTTGGAATGGATTTCTTTCCCCTGTGCCGAGTAGAATGTTACAGCGTTCACAATAACCACAATAACCTACTTAAATGAAGCGATTACTTCTCTCTTGGTGATCTTTGTTCGGTTTCATCCACTGTGTGCAGGACAAGATTGCAATTTCGAGCATCAGTAGCTAAACATTGACATTAAACAAAGAAGACGAAAAGTGCATTCAAATAAAAAGTTGCTTTTAGTCACTTTATAAGGTATTTCTCCCACCTTCTTAGGATGCTTTCGTGGTGTATTGGTTCCGTACACTGGGCCGGTATTCCAGAGGTCCGTGGTTCAATTCTCGGCGAAGGCGATTGCTCATATTTCATCTTGCCTGCTTCCAAAAAATAAACTAATGTCTCTACAGTGGCGACCGAACTAAAAGGGTGTTGGATTATGATTCTCCTCACCCAGGATTTGGCGATCGGGTCCCCTAAAAACCCCAGTCGCCCTTTAAAAGTGGGAGCATATAAGGTATTTCTCCCGTCTATCTAGCGTGCCTTCGTGGTGTAGTGGTTCTGCACGCTGGGCCGGTATTCCAGAAGCCCGTGGTTCGATTCCCGGCAAAGGCGTTGCATACTTTTCATCTTCCCTGTTTCCAAAATACCTAATGTCTCTACAACTTTAGCCAAGGATTGGCATGTTATTTAATAAATCCCAAAACTGATGAGCATGCACGAACGGGATGGGAGAAAGCATCAGGTAGAATATGGGCGCACACGTTTGGGCGATCTGCCAGTATCTGAATGGTAGGGCATTTCGGACGAATTCACTGTGAAAGATTTAAGGGGACTCATACACCTTAAAACCCATAAGATGTTCGAATAGGTGACTGTTGCAAGAAATGAGATAACTTATTTATTTTAAAAGCAATTACTACCAACTTTTTACAGCTGACTACATAATATAGCTGCTTTCTGAAATAGTAATCAGAAAGTTTGTGTTGCCACAAATATTTTTATAATTTAATCCGCTTTGTGACAATATTTTTCGTCATGTTTCCAACTTGCGCGCACAGTTTAAAACATTATTTTACATAATTTAATTCAATATTTAATATACAGCTTTTATAACATTTGGAAACTACTGTGAACCTAAAATTCTAAAAATTTCATGTTAAATTTTTATTTTATTTTGAGTTGAGTTCATAAAATGTATTTTATTAAAAAAATTTGTAATGTTTTCGTCCATAAAATTTTTCAATATTAAAATATTCACCAGATTGTTGGTTCAGTTACAAAATGGTGCCCATATAAAGAATTCCATCCAATTTCAAGTATGTACCATTAGCCATTTTAAAAATATCATGCGCGCAAGGTGGAAACATGGCGAAATATTTTGTCACAAAGAGGATTAAATTACAAAAATATTTGTGGTAACACAAACTTTCTGGTTACTAGTTTCCAAAGCAGATATATTATGTAGTCAGCTGTAAAAAGTTGGAAGTAATTGCTTTTAAAATAAATAAAATATCCCAATTCTTGCAACAGTCACATATTCGAAGATCATGAGGGGTTTAAGGTGTATGAGTCCCCTTAAATAAGTTTGAGTTAGTTCCCTCAAAACCTCTTTCACCAGAACTATCTTGCAAGAGCTTTATATTTAAATTAAAAGCCATTTATCCGAACAATTAATTTGGCGTATAAAAGGATAACGAAATATTTCAGTATAAAAAATTGCTGCTCATTTGTGAAAACTTACTTCGTTAAAGCATAATTAAAAATTTACATATTTAAATACTAAACATACAAAGTGAGACAGTTAGCTTTCAATAATATCTTTATTTATTTAAAACTGTAAAGTCTTTAAATGACACGAATGCTTGTGTATTAAAGGATAGGAAGGAAGTTTTGGGCGTTAACAGGATTAAAACGTGATGAAAGGAAAGAAATCATTTTCACCGTAGAAAGAGGAAGCCATACAATGCAATGAGTTACTGTTAATTATTTTAATAAACTCAAATAATTAACAATACTGTTAATTATTTGAGAAATTCATCAGAGAAAGAGAATTCATTTTTTCAGAGAACAAGGTGCGATAATCCACGTGAAATATTTTCTTTCATCAAGAAGTTTAAATTAATTTTGATAATTGTGTTCAGTAATAAAATTATCCTAGACTAGCAGTAGTATGATGCATAGTACGTTTTATAATTCAATGTAAAATACAAAATCTTTTCTCAGCGATTGTCATTTATAAAACAGTTAACGAAAGGAAGGTCAAAAGATTTAATGTCTGAAGAAAATTAGTGAAAATAAAAGACGAAATTAATTGTATGCCTATTACGTAATTAATTATTGTTAAGCGCATATATATTAGTGACATCAATATTTTAACTACAAGGAGGCAAAGAAAATACTGCACAAATTGGGAATTCTTCTAAGTTTATTTTGCCTATTTTTTAAGCATTTTTGGGTTAGATATTTCATAATAGAAAATCGAAATATAATAGATATAAATTTTAATGAAAAATAAAGTAAACGATATGGTGCATTCTTAACTCTAAACTTCGATTAGCTCCAAAACGCATTAATGAGTGAGGAATACTGAAACGTTATAAATTGCATAAGTTTAAACTTTACCTTCATATAAAACAGTTTTCACTTCAGGAGGAGGAGATTTCATCTCGGTTATTGGATTGATAACTCTGGTTAATGTGTTTGTTCCTGTGCATCCACGTTTAGGCCAGTCCATTTTCATTTCTAGCGTTTCAACTTCGTCCTTTCGTTTGCATGTGCACTCAGGTTCAGTTTTCAATTCACCTTCAACTCCTTCGAAATCACTTCTACCGTTCTGCTTCTGGGTATATTCAAGATACCATTTCAGTCTAATCTAAAAGAAATAAAAAGTTCGCAATCTGAATTAAATTAGAAGATATAAATTATAATGAAGGAAAGTATATGATACTGATAATGCTGAAAATTTAAAGTCCTGGGGACTTAAATGGTACACAAAACGCGCGGATATTAGCTAATTCCTGAAGTTGAAAATACGCAATACTTTCCCATTAGTAGCATTATCTCAGAAATGGCTTTTTTTGTTTAAGCTACCGAATATTATTGCTGTTCAAAATGAAAATGTCGCCAAATATTCCGTTGTATGTTTCCAGCATGCATTATTTCTTCTTCTGATGGGTGACACCGACAAATTGATCAGATTTACAAACATGTGAATGCATATGTTACCTTCTACTTGTAACAACGTAAGAACAAACTATGCCCTACATCAAACTATATATGAACCCACTAGTGGTTAAGTGAATGACACAGTATCTTGCCGGGCGTTTGCTCCATGTGCAAATTGAATACGAGTTATCTTTTATAAATGCTTCCAGGTAGGCAGAGAGCATTAATGTGCTTCCCCATAAGCAAACAATTCAATCCAATTAAATTGCATAAGTATTTCAATGATTTAATTAACACATTTGGATGTGTACATATTTCGATCAATTAAACTCAGGGTATAAGTATTTCAATATATAATTTTGTAAAGTTAAATTAAAACAATGTAAATTTCTTTGACCTATGAAGATTATAGAGCTGAAGTGTATTATAGAATGTGACAGAAATAAATATTCACCATTTTTTAATCTTTTAAATTTTATGTAAATACCGAAGATGACTTAGTGTTACATACATAAACAAAATAATAATTAAACCATTTGATGAAACATGTTTGGTGGTATTCTAAGTTAGCATTATCAATGCTATGTTCAGTACAAAGCAGCATACGCAAGCTACAGCGCAAACTAAATATGCAGGGACAGATCTTATTAATGAAAAATTAACAGGAAGTCAATTTATTTATTGGAAATTTATTACGAAATTAGACTGCTCAAAATTTAATATCATTCGAATGGACTAATAAGTATAGAATTAACGTATAAATCTAAGGATTAGAAAATAACTTTGAATCTGAACTTATAGTTTTTAAGATCTTCTTGCTCAGGATACACGGTAATAGTTGGATAGAGTTCTTTATAACTGATAATACTACACTGAATGTCAGGATTTTCTCTCGTATTTTTTATGAAAGCTAAAAAGAAGGTCAAGTGACAAAATGAAACTGGAAAATAATTTCACGTGTGTGTAAATTTACCAGAGATTAAACGCAAATTAAAAATAATTAGAAAATGAATATCTGATGAAGAATAATTAGATAATAAGGCACTCGTCTTCTAATATGTACACAAAATTTACTAGTTCAATCCTAAAAGTCAGCTCAGGATACCTAACCTAGGGAAAGATCTGGTTGTCTTGAATTTTCGTCATTTTTCATATAACGCCAGTGCAGATAAATTTTTCTTCGAAAGTCTTTCAAAAAGTCGAATCTTCTACAAGGCAGATAATAATCTCAAATTTTGACGCATTCAGCTAAATGAGAAAAATAACATTTAACGAAATATCAGTTAGACTGAGAATGTGTTGGTGAATGTGCGGACAGTCTGTACTACAGACTAACCGATTTTGCTCTATGTCAGCCACTATCCAGTCTTCCTTGGATAACCGTTCCAGGTTATCCAAAGAAGACAACTTCGCAACAAAGCATTCACTCCATATTGTCTATTTAGGAAGCACTGCTTTCTTACAGTATAGATGCTGTTGTATATGTTCTGCCTTGAATTAATTGTTGCGTAGCGGTGCACACGTCCTCTCCGTTTTTGAGAAAGCACATCTAATATCCTGCAGATTTTCTGTGTCAGGTGCTCTTGCTTAATTACATAGACGCTGAATAGATGCTTTAACTACTATTCTAGAATTATACAGCTATTCTATGCGTCTGACTCTTTTGTATGCATAGTTTTCATAGAATCCGCTTCAGAGATATATGTTGGTCACATGTGCATCTTTACTTCTGTACGTTTCACTGGAGGATAGATGTAAGATTGTGATGCTTTATGTTTGTAGACTGTCTGGGAAGAAATTCCCATCGAAATACGCGGCTGTGGTGCCGAGCTGTGTGATTTACCGACAAACAGTTTCTTTTTCCTGTTCGAACATGTAATACGAGAAGTTCTGCTAGAACATTTTCAGCGGCCATCATCATAATTCAGAGTACCGTAACGATAACGTTTACACACAATCGTTGGAGACTTGACAAGTATTAAATTTGGCGACCTCGCAGAAGCTATGCCCATGCCTACCGGCATATATGACTGTTTTTTCCTGTGCCTCTGGTACTTTTTTGATAAGCGCATTGAGACTCCAATTGGCGCACTGGAAAGTTTGTAATTTTGATGGGGCTGTTGCAAGCGTGCGAGATTTTAATTTGTTAATGTGCAGAACCCTGAGTCTCGAATCCCACAGCAAGCTTAAGAATTTTTAATTTGTTTTTACTATTTGGCTTTTATTGCCTTTTAATCTGATGCTTGGAATTGTTAGAGAATTGGAAATGCTGAGTACTGATGATTTTGAATCTGACATGATAAGGCTGTACAAAGGTAATTTGGAGTTCGTGGTTTGTGCTCACAGTATTGCCATTGTTGCTGCCAGAGACGTTGAGTACAATTAGCTTTCTCTCGCTTTCTAAGCAATTTACTATTATAGCCGATCACTAGAGTGAATTCACACTGCAAGCCATTGTAGTTGTTATGCAAGTCAGTGTTCTCTATTACAGCTAAAGCAAGAATTTTCGATTTGCCTGTGCGAACGAAATCCCTATTGATATGAGTTGGAAAGATTTTTCTTGCTAAGATGGCGCAAGAATAGGCTAACGGCTGGTGATTATATTTTATAAGCTTTTCCCAGCGCTACGAGGAGGCATATCGGAAGAAACTATTCTAGACGAGATGAATTTTTGCTTTATTTTAAGATGACTTATGTGATTTTGAATGCTTAAAAGATGAGGTTTGCTTGCAAAGATTTATTGTGAAAGATTACATACAGATTTTAGTATGATATTTTGATGATTTTTTAGTCGATGCTGTCTGGACTCAGTTCCTATTCTTTGGAAGATTTCGTATGGTAATGATGATTTCTTGCTGCGCGAATGGCATATTGCCTATGGCTGAAACTGATGCTATGTCGTAGCATATTTCTTATTATTATCACGGCTATTTCTTATTATTAGGGCTGTAATTTGCCTCTTTCACAGTACATTGGAAAGAAAATGTTCCAGTGTGAAACATATGCAACTGGTGATGTCTAGCTCTGAGGATGATTGCAGATATGTTAGTTTGCAGAATCTTCCTGTATTTTATTTTCCAGTATTTTATTTTAGCGGCCTGAATCATGTTTTCTTTTTCCTATATTTTTGAAGGAAGTTTATGGCTTGTATTTGCGGGAAAATTTCCAAGCATATGTTGTACCTATCGTTCAGGAGACTGGTCGTGAATTCTTGATGTGCTCATCATATTTAGTGTAGCATGCATGTAATATTAGATTTCATTTAAAACTCCGACTGTTAACAACATAAAAAAATCTTGCCGATTAGGAAATTGAAGTTATATCATAATATAGAATTTTGTTTCTCTGTTTATTGTACGATATGTATTTGAAATTATCTTGAATTAGAATAAGGAAAGAACGTAAGCATTTGATTAATTTTTAACACAGACCTATTGCTAGGCAATATACCTTTTACAGCGTTCTACAAGCTAGAATTTTCCATCATTATAAAATATTACTGGATAATCATGCATTGCCTCTCTGACCTGTAGATCTGAAGTGAAACAATAACCTCTTAGAGCCTCCTTAAGAAGGTAAAGTAAATTAAAAAAAGATAGTGTAAGATCTGGATTATATGAGAGATGTTTAAAAAAGTCGAATCGTTTATAAGTGCGCTGGTATTCAGTAAATACTTTCAGAACCCACCTCATGTAACATTTTAGAAAATCAAGTCTGTTAACCTAAAATTGATTTGCCACATCCTCAATGATCAATATTCAACTGCTGAGAATCATACTGCCTATTCAGTCAATGTTAACATTTTAAATGATTGTGAAAGTACATGAAGCTATTATATTGTATGCAATACTCGTCCAGTCCTTTCTGAATAAATTTATTCATTCTTACATTGTAATAAACCTCATATATGAATTTTAGTAGTAAGACCTATTATCTTGTCCTATTTCATTCTGTTACATCAATAGAAGTAAACAGTTCTTTCGTGTTCTTAATTGCAGATGAAAATCTATACTATACAGTTATCTTTCACTAGAAATTAAAATAAGAATGAGTTATGGAGTTTATTTGTTTGAGAACCTTTACTGTCGTAACAACAAATGTTTACAAATACTCAGGTTTTCACCGTGGGCACATTTCAAGTACTAACTCGTTTTTGTATCTTGGGTATATACTCTTTTGATATCGGAGAAAGGGAACTGATATTAAATATATTCAATATCATCCGTCATACCATTACCCACAGCAAAGAAAATATTAACCTGGGATGGGTAAAAGCCCATATCGGACAAGAACGAAATGAAGTCGCGGATAAACTAGTGAATGCCGCAACAGCAGATCCTACGACGTATCACATCTGCATTCCAAATTCAGGCTTTCACCATAAGAACAAGTCCAATACTCTGGCCATATCAGAATGGCAAAAAAATTGGGATAGCACGGAGATGGGTCGAGAGATCTGTATATGTTTTCCGAAGGTCTCCGCTGAAATCAAGACTAACTTTAGTTTTGCTACACAGTTATACACAGACCATTGTCCTACCCCTGCATATCTACACAGATACTGCAAAAAAAGAAACGGACATGTGCTGCTGGGGTACTAAGGGCGACCTTAGCCACTACCTACACAACTGTCACATGACGACAAAGCTACATTTGTCAAAACCATCGACAAGTAATGAATGAAAACGGAGCCAGTTGCTCCCAGGCAATCGTGATTTGTTAAGTAGAGCGATACATATAATTAAATACATAAATGATAACTCTAATGAGTTGTACCACCTTTCGAGACCGAAAGGATCTTAAACATGTGATGGAAAGCCCTCACGTTTTTCACTCCGAATGCCATTTCGACATGTGCAACGGGCGCTGGATAAAAAGACTATAAAGAGACGGGTTTTGATGTCTCTCCTATCTTTCTTCTGTGTTTCTCGTCTCATTTCGCCGTTTCACTTACATTCGTTAATGCATTTTATATTATGTTTGCCTAATACTTCACCCAAATTTACTCAGGCACGGGCATTTTATTTATATGCAGTTCACCCATAGTGACCATAGCGACTCAGTTCATCCATTTGCGGAACATTTATGTGTGGTGCCTTTAATTGAGATTGTCTGAGGTGCTGGTAATAGCGTGATGCAGTTCACGCTATAGTAATTTACAAGCATGACGTCCAGAATTAATTAGTAACTTTTGAAACGTATCAACATTTTACTTCCTTCGAGGTGTTATTGTACTACGACGAACTCGCAAATGTTATTTTGTGACAGGTGTTGTATAGGTTTCTTGTGACCAAATAATTATAAATAGTTATCAATAGTTCTTAAGGATATGATCACAGCACAAGAATCAAAATCATAATGTTCTCTTTTATTCGGGTTTTTACGGCAGTAACACAGAAAAATAATTAAAATGTTGATCCTTAAACATTTCACTCTCTGTTACCGTGACTCAGAAATTTTAATCATTTTTAGCATTTTGGGCTTAAATGTTATAGCACTGTAAAGACTGTAAACACCAATTTTGTAATAACTGTTGCACATTTTAATACATTAACACTTAATATCCAAACTACGCGATGTGTTCAAAATTCATATGTTAAGACACAGTTTCAAATTTTGTCTTCCGGAACTACATCTGTTAAACATCATTGTAAATATCTGTAAAATTATGTTTTAAAGATCAGTAAAATTCCAGTGTATATAGGTTTCCACTAGCTGGACATTAAGGCTTAAAGCAAAATTACATGTGAACTATCCAATCAGCGGTACTCCCCAAAAGAGACATTTTATGCCCATTTGTCAATTATTCAAACTTCAATTTTCAGTGATTCTAATAAAATATTAGCTCATGTTATAAAATACATTTTGCTAAAAATTATGGAAAATCACTTCAAAATTTCTCAATAAATTGATACATATCCAGCTCTCAGGATAGTATTTTACGCTTATAATGTTAAAAAAAAAGAGATATGACAAATCATCTACTCATTTAAGAACCTTGTAACCTGGCATAAATATTTTTAAGCGAAAAATATAACTACAGGAAGTTAATGTCTTAGCTGAAAAATTGCAGTTAAAAACATAAATGCAGCACGTACATTTTTCTCCTTCTTAATTGCTTCTGACCAGGATTTGTGAAATGCTGGCTCAAATATGTCGTCCCAAGGCATACTTCAAAGGAATAAATTAGCCACTCTACAAAAAGAAAAAAATCAAACTTTTTATAACATACTCTCAAATAATGCAATTAAAATATAATCACTTGTAATCAGAACAAATAACTGCATTGTAAGATTAAAATATATTTTCTTGAAGGTCAAATCTCTATGAAAAACTTTCCTTGAAGTAAGATTTTGTATTTATGATTTATGAGAAGAAACTTCTCCGTCTGACACGTGTGTACATGATGAATGCCACATTGTGATCTCGTAGCGGAGAGATTATTGGATGTCTGGTGGAGAATGATTACAGGCACGCACGAAATTTTTATCTACATGCTTGTCTCGTGCTCTATTACATGTTTCAAGTCTGTGGTAAAATTTTCAGTAATTGTTTCTGCTAGAAGCATTATGGAAGAGTAAAGAAACGAGTCTAGCATTAATATATATGAGATTCTTTGCGATACAAGTACAAATAGAAAGAGCGAAAGAGGAAAATGAAAGCCAAGATAGATAGATAATGGTACTCACCTGTGTGAAAGGCAGTAAGAGAAAACAAAACAAAATTAAACAAGAGCAGTGGAAGCATATTTCAACATAAGCTAGGATTTAGGCCAAGCGTAGAAGAGAAGATACAAACTTTTAATGCAAAAGAACTGTAAAAAGATCAACAGGCGCTGGCGAAGCTTTAGCGTAAAATATTAGAGAAATAATATTGATATAAATTGGAAATTCAGAAAAATATCGTAAATAAAAAAGAATTTTAGAGATAAATTTGATTACTGATATGAAGATTGTCAGAATTTTTATTATAAGTTTTCTTTTTAACTAACATTTTATTTTTTATGTCACAATCGGTCCTCTACTTCTATTATTTCGTCCACTTGACCAGAATGTATAAAGAAACTGAGTTTTAAATAGCAGCGAGAACCTAATTTTTAGAAAGAGTTTTCTTAATATTAGACAGCCTTAGTGATTTTGTTTTGTTATTGTTTTTACTGAAGACTGTTGCTACTAGCTGTGTTTGTTTTTCATTGAAAATTTAATCTTGAAATAGAAGAGCCAATTAGATTTGAAGTTTAAATTTTAACTTGTAAGTGCTTTGAAAGTTTGTTGTTCTTGAATCCAGAAAGAAGCAGAGTTAAACAGAGTTTTAGACCTATATTTAAGATAAAAAATTTAAATACAAATTTTAGTTTCATGTCATTGCTGTATCTTATTAATTTTTCAGTATTGTGAAATAAAAGTTGTAATAAAATTCATCCAGTATCAAACTCATGTTTATTTTGAGTTTACAATACGAGTTAAACTTTTGTTAACTTTACAGAAATTCAGTTTTGTTACAAGACTATCAAATTTTAAAATAGAGCAGAGGAGAGCAGAAAATTCTTACAAGTAATATAGTAAATAGGTGTTTTCTCGAACATGTTTATATTCAGGAAAGCACACATTATCAAAATATAACAAAATGTTCCTATTGATAACTACTTCCGTTTAGCGCGAATAAAATTTACTGTGCGCGATCTCCTATTCAATGGTTCTTTCCTAAGTAATAGGTCTTATTCAACAAATAAACACCTAAATAATAAATAAAAACCGGTACTCCCTTATTACAGCGGCTCCCACGTTTGAATCGCTAATCAACCGAGATATTTCGCCGAAATTTTGCCACGTGTTCTTGTACCTCGCTACACATTACATCTCGATTGATTATCGACTAAATTTTGGGGGCCATTATAATAAGGAAGTGCCTCAAAATCGTATTTTAATACTTTTATTTCTCAACTGAGAAGTATAATATTAAATTTTTGTATGAAAACAAATTTTCTTGATTATCAAAATGGAAAGTGCTGACATAATTAATTACAAGTACCTATGCAAATAGCGATAAATACTGAAATTAAAATTTTTTCCTAAATGGAATTTAAATAAAAATAATATAGTTGTAAAGTTATTATCTTAAATTCAGTTATTATGATTTGCATCTATACTTCCACTTCTTTCCGCATTTCTTACGATAATAAAAATTAGTTTCTTATGCATTTAAATTGAAGTTTTTAGATCTTGGGAGAGAAAGTGCGCTCCTAGCACTAGTGCAGCGTGATTAGTTTCTGTCAGCTCTAGCAGTTATAATCTTTCTCGGGTTTGCGTTCTCTCGTCGCCGATACTTTAAATTGACGCGTCGATAATTTATCGAGCCAACTTAGTATTTAATTGAAAAGTCTCAGACCACTGATTAAAGTTTAATTTGAATTAACTGTTCTGATTTGCTCTGCTACTGCTACGAGCTGTGGCTACTTGTCGCACAAAGTCGTGCTTTTTATGTTTAATGTTCTACATAAATGAAAACGTCGTTTTAAAACCTTAATAAAACTTTTTCGTCTATCTCAGATAAAGCCATAACTCGCTATAAGTCTGTTAGGGTTATAGAACTAAAGTTAGCGCTATTAGACCAAATATAACCTTATAGAATGTTCCCAAATTTTCAATAAATGTGATATTTGGTCAATTTAAAACTGCTCGAACCGTATATTCATGATTCCTTTATATGCGATATCAGAAGAAATTTAATTCAATATAAATGGAATAAGAGACATATCTTACTATTCGGAAAAGCAAATTTGATGCTTTATTATTTATCAACTCAAAAGTCTTTGATTTCTATAAATTACTAAAGATATATACTGGGTACTTAATCAAAGTTCCCCCTCTCTAAGAATATTTTAATAGCAATTATGATATAGATGTTTTGTAAATCGTAGTCTTAAAAATAAGTTGTTACAGAAGAAACATTTTAGTGATCTTAAAATTTAATTTTTAGTTTTCTGACTATTTTCTTTCTAGAATTTCAAAAATCATTCGTGAGTAAAACGTAATTCTGCAAACATAATGGTTCTTCAGCACACGAGAAAAAAAAGGGTGGTCATGGTGTCCTACGTGGGTTATCTCTTGTTTGACAGATTTGAAATACTCTAACTAGTCTAACTAAACTATTTTCTTGCAAATTATTGTTCATTAATCTCCTTTCCTTTATATATGTAACTTTTATATTATTTGTTATACAAATATTTTTTTTTAATTTTTAATAACTATTGTAAGTGATCTTGGGATTGAACTGAGATTCGAAATTAAGATCACATTTTTCGCAAAATTGTTCGCTACCTCTGCATCGTAGAAGACGCAAGCAAGTTTTCCTGATCAGGTTTAGATAAACTTCTGCCGGATACATCATTTATTTAATCACAGAATGGCGAATCTGTCGATTAAATGCAACGTCTTTATGTAGCTCACCTGACCAAAGGTTTTATTACACAGCAATTAACATTGCAACGAACTTAATTCACACATTATGAGCGGGAGTGGGTATTTGTACCCGTTTTCGCAGATTGCCATTCATAAGCGGGGAGGGGATTGCCCTTTAAACGCGCGGCAGGTATTAGTACCCGTTTAAAATCACCACTTTTAAGTGACACAAGGAAAAAATAATGTTGCATATAATGCATGGATTGATATATTTTTATTGGAACAGATTTTTAACTTAGTCAACTTATTTGTAATCAACTTGTATAAATATCTCTCATGTGCTGAGACATCTACATATCCCTCAACACATTAGTTGATAACACTGCATTTATGAAGTTTCATATTACTTCGTATATTACTATTATATTCATATTACCGGTAAGCAACATAGTTGCGTATGTTAGATAGACCGCACAAAATGTGTTCATACTGGGTTTCGAACCTACAACTGCATAATCTAAAGCAGAGAGCAGTATTTTTGCACGCTCGAACACATTAGTATGTCTCTACGGGAACAGAGTGATAATAAGGAAAGAATTTTGTGAGCATTTTGCGTAATGAATCTTTCAAAATGCACAGTGTTCTGCCACCACATGCGCAGTGTTGTGTGTATGTATAGACAAGTGACAAGTGACGGAGGACGCGGGCACTGTCCCTTTACCATTAGGTTAATCGGTATAGCACCGCGTCCACCCCTGTCTAGAGACAACACCAAAAAAGAGGAGATCTAGACATGAGAGCCCCCGGCGCCGCGCCCAACGTCGGATCCAGGCCCCCGTGCCGTTCACTACCCAAAGAGCCACTGGGAATTTATTAAAAATCAAATAAAAATTACATGTCTAAACAAGGGTTAATAATGACAAAAGAAATAATAAACATAAATATTATATGAGATAATATTAAATATGCCTAAGTTAGCCAGATATAATAAGAAATGGTTGAAATAGTAAGTAACTATATGATAATAATTAAATACAATAAATATGGAATTATAAATAAATATGGAATACAAGAAGAATTACAATAACATAAAGGTTTTAACATGGGGGAACGGCACCAAGAAGGCATGAACGTTACAAATAGCATTACAAGTATTGAAGTACCAAGGACATTAAAGGTTGGAAATTAACATTCCAAGTTGGTAGCCGGTTTTGTTCAAATGCAATATATAAAACATACACATCACTATAAGTACAATATAGATGGTATATATCGACGGTATACTTTCAACTCCAACAGTGCAATAGAAATAATAAATTAAAAATACAATGCAGGTAATGTGTGTACTAAAACAATAGTTTCAATGTATAAACATAGTGAGGATATATTTAAAATTGTAAGTACAAGACCATGTTGATGTAATATATTTTGTCTTTTACAATAAAACATATATATATACTATTATTTTACACAGAGATTTAAAGCATATATATTTAGTGCAGATACAGATAGTATTGCAGGTGGGACCAATACAATAAGTACTTGCAGTGAATATGCGATGAACAAATACAACACTTAAGTAGGTAAGTACCAGAACGATGAATATACAGATATGTATGCATTATCAATAAAATACACAAAAATAATAGGAGTATACATATGTAGACAATACGCATACAGGGAATATACCTATTATATTAATAAGTACATTGCAGAGAAACATTGTGGTACACATAAATATATATATGCGAAAAGATCGGAGGTGTTTGTTTTCCTGGTTGATACATATAAAAGAATACATAGATTGCAGTTAAATACATTATGAATAAAAATAACAATAAGAAATATATAGAAAAATATATAATACGAAATCAGAAGGATACCAGAAATATATATAATATAATATTCATACCATACTTTAAATAATAATAAGTGTATACAGTACGATAGTCATACGAGACTTTAAATACCCAAGACTGGGAATGCACACATATAAACTTAATACCCAAAAATTGTGCATTAAAAAAAACCAAAAAGATATATAAGACAATAATAATATTATATATTGAATATCCTGAAGTATACACTATACAATATGTATACCCTACATTAAATGCCTAGGACTATGAGTGCGTACCTATAACTTATTCCCCATACCATTACAATATAGAGACAAGAGGTGTAAACAAAGAAATTATATATATATATATATATATATATATATATATATATAATACAATATTCATACCATACAGTAAATAACAATCAGTGTGCAAACCTTACATTAAATGCCAACACTAAGAATGCACACATATAAGCTTAACACCAATAAGTTTTGCATAAAATTGCCAGAAATATGTGTAACACAATATTAATGCCATACATTGAATATCATGAGGGATATACGAAACAATATACATAGCATACATTAAATGTCGAGGACTATGTGTGCAAAAAATAACTTAATCCCCATACTGCGACGGAATGGTTACAATGTAGATACAAGAAGTGCAAACAAAGAAATATGTATAAGAAAAGATTCATACTAGATAGTAAATAACAATCAGTGTTCATACAATACATTAAATACCCAATGCTGGGAATGCACACATATATACTTAATACCCATAAGTTGTACATAAAAATGCCAGAAATATATGCAATACAATATTAATACCATACATTGAATACCATGAAGGATATACTATACAATATACATACCATACATTAAATGCCGAGGACTGGGAGTACATACATATAACTTAATCCCCATACTGCGATTGAATACGTTGCAATGTAGATACCAGAAGTGCAAACAAAGAAATATGTATAATGCAATATTCATGCAATAAAGTAAATAACAATCAGTATTCATACCATACATTAAATACCCAACACTGGGAATGCACACATATAAACTTAATACCCATAAGTTGTGCATAAAAAGGCCAGAGATATATGTAATACAATATTAAAGCCATACATTAATACCATGCATTGAATATTATGAAGGATATACTATACATTATACGTACCATACATTAAATGTCAAGGACTGTAAGTGCATACGTATAACTTAATTCCCATACTACAATTACCTAAACAAAGACTTACAGGTCTTTTGTTGAAACAATTCAATAAGTTCATGCCAATTGTTTAGTGAAAAGTATAGGGAATATATACAAAATATGCTGATATAATGTTGGCAGCAAGATTATAAATACAATCAAACATAATCAATGATATAAGGGCATGGTGAAGTTACAATAAAATTGTGTCAAAGAAATTCTTAATACATTACAATCGATACATTTAAAGAAAGCATGTGAAAAATCATATACAAATGAACAGTTTAAGACCACTGCTATACCTTGAAACATAAAGTTTATGCAGTTTGGCATAGATCAACACCATAGTCGAAAAGAAGAGACATTATGGAAGATATCTTTTTGACCAGGTGAGGTTGTTTCACCATAAATTTGGCAAATGCCTGTACATTAGTTGATGGCATCTTAATATGATGAGCACGAGTGAGTTCACACGAAGTAAGATAATGTTCGGGAGTTCCCGTCTCCCCACAGACGCATAAGTCTATATTTGTTGTACGGTGTCTGTGAAAGTAGACAGGGAACGGCCCATGGCCAGAGATGAATCTTGTAAGGTGAGGATTGGTAATCTGACGAGCCGGATCTACGTAAGAAAGATGGTAATAAGTTCTTCTGCCCGTCGTAGCAGAGTCCCATTCAGCCTGCCACTTGGACACAGTTTGTAAGAAGATTGCATGTTTTAGGTAGGAATATGGCCATTTTATTTGTACTGATTCAGCTTGAAAATTGGCTGCAGCCTCTTTTGCAAGAAAATCTGCAAGTTCGTTACCGGCATTGCCAGAATGGCCTTTAGTCCAGACTAAATGTATGGACGGGTAGTCATGATCATGCAAAAGTTGTTGTATGCTATGTATAAGAGAAGAGGAATGGCGAGGATTAAGAAGTGCGAAGAGGGCTGACAGGCTATCTGTAAAAATATTGACAGAAGACGCTTGTAACGTTGTGGCATAAGCAATAGCTTGTTGAAGGGCCAAGCATTCTGCTTGAAAAACACTGTTATTGGAATGCATATGGCCCTTCCAATGAAAGATGGGGAGGTTATCCGCATAAGTAACGTAAGCACAGCCTGTAGAATTATCAAGTTTTGATCCATCTGTGAAGATATTAATGGTGGTTGCTGGAGGTTGACATTCTCCTTTCAAGAAGACTGATAAACCTTTCCCAAAGGTTGATGGATGTATAGTAAGTGGATGCGCTGGGGTATCAAAAGGAACCGGCGAATGAAGAATATCATCCAAATAGACGGCTTGCTGAAGTTGTTTAACTTTAGTGATTGTAGATTCTTGCAATGCTTTAAGATGCAAAGGAATGAGGCCAGCGAGTACACATAAAGCGTGATTAGAAGTAGTACAATATGCCCTTGTCATGGCAAGGGCAAAAGGACGTTGAATAGACTGCAGAAGGCGTACCTTGCGTGCTTGCATTGGTTCAACCCAGACCGCTGCAGCATAGGTAATAATTTTTTCTATGACGGTCTGGTATAGAATTTTCAAAATAAACGGATTTAAACCCCAGGTAGATCCTTGCATTTGACGAAGGCGTTTAGCAATGGTAAGAGCTCGCGTTTTAAGGTGAAGAATATGTGGGATCCATTTTAGCTTTTCGTCGAAGAGAAGGCCAAGGTACTTTAGTTGAGATTCAATTTTAATTCTTTTGCCATTAATTAGAAAAGTCGGCCGTCGAACAAGAGAACCTCCTTTTTTTCGGAATTAAAAGAGCACGTGATTTTTCTTCAGATATAGATAATTTTAATTTAGTGCATAAGCGATAATATTGATCGCATGTTTCGTTCACATTTCGTTGCAGTTCTTCCCGTGTTCTGCCTTTTATAATAAATGCTGCATCATCTGCATAGGCATAAATTTCAGTATGCTCTGGCCAGTCCGCCTTCAGAACGCTGTTAAAAGTCAGGTTCCAAAGGTCCGGACCAGCGCAAGAGCCCTGAGGACAGCCACGATCTTGAGGTTTTTGAATAATTCCAGCATTATGAACATAGATGAGATGACGATTAGATAGGTAGTTCTTGAGGACTAGAAAAAGATTCCTTGGGCAGGCGGAGTCCAATAAGGCCTTCCGGATGGCAGGCCACCACAGCGTGTCGAATGCGTTTCGAAGATCGATGCTAATAAAAGCGCTGTGGTAGCCGCCATTACGATTACGGTGTAAAGCCTCAGAGATACCGGACAGAGCATGGAGTGTTGAGCGTTGTGGGCGAAATCCAAATTGCTTATCACTAAGAAAGCCAGTATGGTGCAGGTGAAATTTCAAACGACTCATGAGAAGACGCTCATATACCTTGCCCAAAGCAGACAGTAGACAGATGGGACGATATGAAGAAGATTGTAGAGGGTCTTTATTTTTCTTCAAGAATAAAATAACTTGACCAATTTTGAACGCATGGGGAAATAGACCATATAATAGTAGTTTGTTGAAATAATCAAGGAAGAAATAGGCATCTGCTTGGATAGAAACTTTGATAATAGAATAATCTAACCCATCTGGTCCTGGAGCACGTTTTTCTTGGGCAAGGTACGTAAGATGGTGCGGAGTTCACTGAGAGCAAATGGAGGATCGTCAGCTGTAGATGGGATGGATGAAATATTGCGAATTGAAGCATGATGTGGAGAATCATCAGTTGGTGTATCTGCTGGAAAAACGGTATTTAAAATACTTTGAATGGCCTGATCTGTGGAATAAGAACTGGATAAATGCATAGGTCTAACAGGAATTTGAATAGGTTTAAATAATTTATCCAGCGCAATTTTGTGATGTAGACCATATGTTTCATTATTAGATGTGCAGTAATTTCGCCAGGAATTTAGCTTAGATTGCATAATTAATCGTTTATACTTTGCTCTTTCGCGTTGATACAGAACCAATGTGTTAGTATCTTGGCCACGGCAACGTTCTTGCTTAAGACGGCGACGAAGAGCCCGGCATTTTTTCTGCTGAATGCGTAGGATCATTAGTCCACCAATGAAGAGTATGTAATTTTTTAGTAGTTCTCTGTGGAAGCATTTCTTGGCAGGTAGTTTGAAGACTATGAATTAAAGTATCCGTAAATTTTTCCAACGATTCAACAGAGTCAACCATTGCTAGTTGAGGTTTAAGGGTTTGTAAATTTCGAAAAATCCGTTTACCAAAAGATTTAACTTTTCTACCTGGTAAATTGTAACGCTGGATGATAGGTACAGTGGTTTGCTCATGAAGTTGGAAAGTAATATATTTATGATCCGAGAGGCTTTCTTTCTCCCGGACCTGCCAGTTCTGTACCAGATGTTCAGTGGCTAGTGACGCCAATGTCAAATCCGGCCATCCTTTGGCGAACAACCGATCAAAAGTGGGAATCATATCGGAAGTATTGAGGAGAACAAGATTTCGTGAGGACATGTAGTCTTCTAAAAGACGACCTTTGGGTGTTGTAGTTGCATAACCCCAACTGGTATTATGAGCGTTAAAATCCCCACTAATAATTAATATTTTGGAACCCAAAGAAGGGAGAATAGTATTTAGTTGATCTATGGTAAACTGAAGATCATCATTAGGACTAGAATATATTGAAATAAATACAAATGCATAATTCTCAAAATCCAATAGAATCGCCGCATGATCACGAGAAGTGGAGATGATAGAGGGGACCAGTTAGGGTCGCAATTCACAATAGCTGCTCTTGGAGGTGCAATTTCGTCTTCAGATTGATAAACAGTCCACGAAAGTGGTAGACCGACTATTTTGCCATTGCGCGTGTAAGGTTCTTGAATAAATAACAAGTGAATATTATTGTCTACAGTGAACTGAGAGACTTGCGACATTGCCACTTGTGCTTTTTGAAGATTTATCTGCAGGCAATTGATATTGTCAATAGGATGTCTACGACTTAGGTTGAGAGAACTATTGGTGGTAGGTTGTGAGGTTGCGAAGGCGGGCAATGTGAGACTGGTAGCAGGGACATTGGTTTGCATAGGCAGGATGTTCCGTTGGGACATCTGTGCGTCTGGTGTAGTTGAAGTCAAGACAGTTAATGCAACTTGGTTGTTTTGCAGTGCAGTCTTTGACATCGTGGTTGCCTGCGCAGTATGAGCAGAACTGCTTGCTGCGACATTCGGATTGTAAGTGTCCGAATCTTTGACAAACGAAGCAACGTTTGATGGCAAAGTACTCGGATATAGTATGTCCGAACCAACCAATGTAGAGCTTGGGCTTGCGCATGATCTTGGAGAAGGCGGACGGATGACATTCCGCGATCCATTTAACGTGCTTTCGTTGCTTGAGGCGATATAGGAATCTGATGTTTTGTCCATCAATGCCAAACTCTGTTTCAAAAGCTGCTTCCACGTCCTCCTTAGAGTAATCAACAGGAATATTGTTAACTGCAATTAAAGGTTTCCGGCGTTTTGGTTGTCGAACGTTGATGAAGTTGGAAGCCTTATCAGAGCTAAGCGCAGCAGAGAGTTTATCACGATCTTCTTCAGTAGAACAGGTGACCGCTAAACCGCCCTTTTGAATAGGCTTGATATTTGTGACCTGAACACCTAAAGAGGGCAATGGAAATTCTTTGGTCAACTGAGCCTTTAGCTGTTGACTTGTGGCCTGCTCTTTAGGGTAAACCAAAAGAGTGGAGCTGGAGACTGCAGGTTGTTGTAGGGCAGCAGCGTATGTAAAAGGGCCAGGAAGTGGAGTAGGTAGTGGTGTGTATGTATAGAAAGAACATGCAACGCCGGCGTACCGGGTAGTGTAATGGCAAACCGCACATTGAGTTGGTGAATGTTAAAAGAATTTCGCTTACTGCGCATGCCAAAAATAGAATTCGGCGCAATTTTAAAAGAAGATAAATGCGGTATATGGTTGATATTGTGTTATCTGGGCGTAAATAGATTATTAAATTTTTCAGTTTGTAAGTTGCTTCATTAAATAGAGTGTAAATATCAATTGTAAACTACTCAAATTTTCTTTTAAGGATTACAAAACAGAAACCATTACAAGATATATTAGCTGAATGTTTATTGATTATACTTCTGAGGAATAAAGGCAATTGAATATTAACCATATGTTCCATTCGTATATACTTTCACAAATTAAGAAATAAAACCAGTTTAACTTAGTGAATCAAAGTCAAATAACTGATATTAAATGTAATATTTATGAACAAAATAAACCAAAATTAAATGAAACAGAAGGACATGCAATAAGCACACAACAAAGTTTCGTAGTATTGCGATTGTAAAAATAGTAAAACCACATGACTAACCGCTTGTGTAGTGTTGTTTATGCTTTTTTTTAGTCGTCAGTATTTCCTCCTACATCAACGGTACACCATTGAGCATGCGCACTATGCGAAATTCCTTAACATTGATCAACTCAATGTGCGGTTTGCCATTATGCTACCGGGTACAGCTGCAAGTTCAGACTTCGGCAGACTTAATGTTATATTTTTAAAATATTAAGTAGACAGTCTGTAACTTCCATTTTACTTGAACAAAAGAAATAAACTTATGTACAGTCTGGAAAAATACTTATGGAGGATTGAGCGATATAATGTTTGTATAAGTGCATGATTGTAATGCTTGTAAAATGAAGTGAAAGTTTAAATATTTGTTTTAAAAGTGTTTAGTCAACCAAATTTTTTTAGGATGCTTTTGTCCACTTGCTTTTCAATGCTTTCTTACCTGGTTCTCGAAACAATATCTCTTCTTACACTGTTTCAGCTTTCACTCTGTGGCGACAAGGCTCAAGGAAAGTATGTATTATATCTATGCATTTTATTATATAAACTGAAAATATACTTATTTCATTTTAATTTTCCATTTCGTACATTTTTACAAGGATGTGTATCTTAAACAAAATCGGCTTAATGCAAAATTGTCTTTTAGTTTTTTCTTAAATCGCAACCCTAGGCCTAACACCAACTGTTCAGGAGCTCTTTGCTCGAGCAATTGTTTTCGATGTATCCTATGATATTTATATTATAAAAACTCGAAACTACCTTCAAAAAGTAAATGGATTTGAAAAGCATTTCCTTATTTTTCTTTAATGGCTTAATAGGAGAGAATTACTTGCTACTTTTTTAAGTTATTAAAAAATAGAATATTGAATTTGGTGTATCCTTAACAAATTAAGCAGATCGTAAGAAACGATCTACAATAAGCGCTGATTTACCAATTAGGTAATTGTAATCAAATTTGATTATTTACGGGCATTTCTACCAAGACATTGAACTCGTCTGTGAAAGATAACGAGATTGTTGAGGATAATCCTTGCAGCTTTAATTTAATGACTTTTGTAAAGTGGCTGTATTTAATGCTAATTGCAGGAAAGAGTCTTATAGGGCGGTCTGATGCATTTATGTGAAATGATTTAAAGAATACCAAATAAGTTTAGATACATTAAACTATTAAACATCAGGAAATATTTATTATAAATGCACTTTACGATGCAATTAAAACTTAATTTAGAGTCCGCATAGTGCGCCGAAATCTAAAGTATAAGCGTGGTATATTAAGCATTTATAATTGAAGCAATACATGGAAAT